ATCACAGCAGGGGCCGCCACCAGCAGTGTGGCGGCCGCCAACGGTGTTACTACCACCGAGAGCAAAGTTGGTGGCAGGAGATTCAGTTTCAGACGATCTTCTTCCCCTTCTTGGACCGTTGATCCCAGGAGGATACTAATTTTCTTTGCTACCCTGTAATTATCTCAGCTTGTTAAACAATGTTATTCCTTTTTCTTTTTGGTAGTGTTATACAAACTGATGGGCATTGTAAAAACAGCTGACTTTTGTTTTTATTGTTTTTTCATTGACAGATCAAGTATTGGAACAATACTATTGATCTATTTCACTCTATCCATGGCCAAGGTTAATGGAGAAGACAAAGCTTCTTATTAATCTATTTCATACTATCCATTGCCAGGCAAAATGGAGAAGACAGTTTTCAGTTAACAGAAGAGATGTGGGGAACTGTTTGCTCTCTTAAATAACAAAGTGATAAAAAGGCCAAGCTACTACTTGCAAATTCCAACTCAGAAGTCTGATATCGAGGCAGAAGAGATATTGAAGAGATATTGAGCATGACTAGTTTTTGAATAACAAAAAGGAGTTAGATGAATGGAGCCAAAAGAGATGCTAAAATTACAGCTTGGCCTTCCATTAGAAAGAATTCAAAGAAATAACTTCAATCAGCTGCCAACACAACATGAAAAAGATGTGAAATATTCAAATAATGAGTGGCGGGGTTTGGAACACATGTATATCTTTTTTTTTCTTTTTTTTTTTTATGTGTTTTTGGTTATGTTTTTTGGTTTGGTATATTATACAGAAGTTGTTTTTGAGAACCAGGAGTAATATTTTGCGATCCTCTACTGTAAGCTATTAATAGAACAAGACATACCTCTTTATTGAAGCATATAGGGCAGTAGTGGTTGTATAAACTTCTCTATTACAAAGCAGTTATACGTGCAGTGCATATTTATTCAACTTACTCTGAGATAAGCATAACATTCCACACCGCAACAGCTTGCCCGTATTGTATGAGCATGACACCAATGCCATGCCAAGTAGGACAGGATAGCCTTGGGAGGAACAAGGCAGCATTGGCAGTGCTATGCACAAGAGGCAAAGCGGACTGTGGGCGCCAAAAGCAGGCACGAACGCATGCGAGTGTCTTGTGTGTGTGGGCAGCGACCAAAGGAACTTAGCTTCTAGCCCTTATATTGTACTGAACACCCCAAACTCACCCACACAGCAGCCAGCAACTTCAACTCGTAGGCCTCATATGTGAAAAACTTTTAGAGTGAAGCTGAACTTGGCATTGTCAAGGAGACATCTTGTGTCAAGTGCCGCATGTTGCTGCCTAGTTTGATAAGAAGACAACTCATTTAATATACCATCTCTGAAAGAGTATTACATGCTAATACATAACTTGATGCATCTGTATAAGATTCAACCCATGGTAGCAGTTAGTTCTTTGTTTATATGGACAATCAGCATTTTACAGTATCAGGATATAAATTTTTCTTTTACGCGGTGACGGGGCTAACTTGCACGTACCACGACTAATTCCACGGAAACCTAATACCTCCCACCGGCAACTGGTACGAAGTAACTCTATCCACCAAGGCTTGGATAGATGGGAAGAAAATTACAGTATCAAGCCATATTGGCACACCATTATCTGATAAAGAAACACAGGTACAAATTTTATGCTGGACCTTCGACTTGCATCACAGACACAGAAAAGAGTTCTTTTATGGAGCGAAAAAACTGGCCACATCTGTCCCCCTCCATTCCCCTTAGGCTCCACCCTCAAGCCAGGGAGGAATAAAGACAGAATATCGCTCATTTACAAAATATACATAGATGCAACTGCATTAGCTGCATTCAGAGTTCATATTGTTGCAATATTTACATGAGGTGCAACGGGGGTTTTATTGGAAGAGTTATATTACCTATTAGCGTATGAAAACTACGTAGAGCACTGTATGATACATATAAAGCAAAACGTACGACACCTGTCAAACATAAGTTGCTATCATAGTAAGTTTATTGCTCCGGCGTTGCCAGCCAAAGATGATGTCTTGACTCGAGACTTTCAAGTATAGTCTTTAATTGAACCCCAAGATCTGATCCCTCAATGCTTGAGAACAATAGTTTAATAGCGTTTTGAAATTCTTGGCATTGAACACCTGTTCTTTCTGTCGTGGTAAAGTCTCAGAACAATAACTGCCGTTTCTTCAATAGCTTTAGCTGTAACTTCTGCAACCAAATGGATGAAAACGAATCATCAAATTACTAATACATTTCCTCATTAACTCGTCTGCATGGGCGTAGTTGTGGGAGGTTCACCTCCTGATTGTTATGCTAATATATTACACCCAATATCAGACAACAGAAAAACTTCATCACATATATGACATACGAAATTTGGGAGGCAAATTACCTATCACTGGCCAGACAGGGTTTTGCGCAAAAATCTTTCCCGCGAATTCCAACTCTTGTTTCACATAATCCATGTCACAATAGTTGGTCTTTATTTCTCCATTAAAACCGAGAGTCTTAGCTCTTGCTCTTCTGATGGATTGCAGAACAACAGGATTTATGGTCAAAGCAAAAACCTTTTCTGGGTTAACTTCAAAAAGAGTCTTGGGCAAGTCTACATTCATGACAATAGGCACATTAGCTACTTTATATCCTTTCTGTGCAAGATAAATAGACAGTGGTGTCTTCCCAGATCGTGAAACGCCCGTTAGAATTATATCAGCCAAGTGCAGGTTTCGTGGCAATGCGCCATCATCTTGCTTTATGGTAAATTCAATTGCTTCAATCCTTCGGAAGTATTCCTCGCTGAGAGTTTTCTCCCTCCCAGGAGCCCAGCGAGGGAGGCCAGAAGGTGAAACACCAAGATGGCCACCAATCGCC